CAGCTGCAAAGCCGGAACATTCTGAAATGTGTGAAACATTGCAGAACAATGCCAGTGAATGAAGGAAGCTCCTAATGCAGCAGGCGTGCAGCTGTGTTTAGTTCTTCGTAACACTTCAAGTAATTTTAGTACTGAAATTCAGCTTTACAAATTATTAGAGGTTTTCAGCATTTCAGAAAAGGAACAGACTACAAGCAACGCTATTACCACTTCAAACCAGTCAAACAACTAACATTCAAATTACCAACTGGACAACGCTGTCCCGAGGCTTCAAATGCAAGTGTCGCAACCTGATATATGTCTGGACGATGAGCAAAATTCGGATCCAAAAGGACCTCTGCAAAAAATAACGACAAAACCATGAAGTCAATGTCTTTCTTCTGTGAAATACACTACGGAAGCTCTACTGTCTTGAACAGATTTCAGCGTACCGTGCGACAGCTAAATGCATGAATGCAATACGCTCAGATTAAAACTGGTGTGAATCCTGGACTTTCTGTTTCGATAAATAGGAAGTAGAAGCATAAAAGCTAGTGAAACTGGTATCACCTACTGTTCCAATACGAGAATAAATAGCGGCGCGCACTAGGGCAGCTGGTGCGATCATGCATTTTGTGCAATCCCGTTCATCGAAAGATTGCCTGCTAATGATTTTCATTGTCCCGCCGAAACTTCCACAGGGCCGTAAGTGATACTTGGACGCGTGTGAAGCTGAATTTAAAATGGCAGGATTGTATGTGGAAAGAAGACATACCATAAAATTTAACCGCCTGGCTTTTATGGTTCCCGAGGTAATAATTTCCCCACCAAAATTTTCACGTGGCCATGAGTGATACACGAGAGCGTAAGAACGCTGAATTTGAGTCTGCGAGGTTGTACATCAGTAAGGGATCATTACTCCAAAATTTTAGCTTCCTGAATTCCGTGGCTCCCGAGATAATAACTTACCCGTCAAAAGTTTCATGGGGCTGTATATGTTACCCGAGGGTACGGAAAGGCTGAATTTAAGTTTCGTAGGTTACGCGTGGGCAAGGAACATACCCATGAAATTCCAGCTTCCTGGATTTCGTGTTTTCCAAGATAGTAATTTATCGCCAAAAATTTCACGGTGCCGTAGGTGATACCCGAAGGCGCGGGAACGCTGGATTCGAATAGGCAAGATCGAGCGTGGGTAGGGGATATTACACTAAAATTTCAGCTTCGTATATTCAGCGGTTCCCGAGATAATAAATTACCCGTCAAAAATTTTCGCGGGGCTGTACATGTTACGCAGGCAGAGGAAAGCTGAATTTAAATTTTCTGGGTAGCACATGGGTGAGGGGCATTTTCACAAAATTTCAGCCTTTTAGCTTCCGTGGTTCCCGTGGTAATAATTTTACTCGCCCAAACCTTTACGGAGCCGTACGTGTTACCCGCGGGTACGGGGAGGCTGAATTTAAATTTGCGGGGTCGCACGTAGGTGGGGAACGTTGCCCTAAATTTTCAGCTTCCTAGCTTTTGTGGTTCCAGAGTTGAAAGTTGCGGACAAGTTGCTGCGGACACACACACACACACACATAAACATACACACACAAACACACACAGACAATCCCGTGACAATATGCGTTTTGTATTGCTGCTACACAGCACAAAACGCATAAAAAGTGGTTTCCGACCATCGAAAAAATAATCAGATACGCTATATTAAACTATTCGTTTGAATCTACTCTAAATTCGTTCAGTATCTGTGAGAAAGCATTGGAAGAGACCAATCGAAAGTGGAATC